CACAGCACAAGTCAATGGACGGGCTTTACACTCGTATGCGCAGAAACGGCCCTGGCACAGCCGTCAAGAAATTTAGTCATAACGGACCCAAAAGGAGACCAACGATCAACGACATTCTTGCAAGGCCCCACTCACCGTGACCTGAGATCAAAGTTGGCTCATACTGGTCGACACGTCGTTCGTGACACGTCAGAATCCACCTCGGTGGGCCTGGGTGCGTCAGAATGGGGGTACAGCTGCATGAGGTCCAGTCGTCGCACGCAAGTAGTCTGGAGAAGAAAAAAAAATGAAAAATTTGAAATTTGAAATTTGTAATTGTACGAAACATGTGTTCACAAAATGTCATCATGAGCTTTTAAGAAAGAGGGGCATTGTAAATTTACAGTTTACATGAGAATAGAGGGGCGTTATGAATTTGGAAAGACATGTCAAATAAGAGAGGCATTGTGAATTTAGAAATACATGTAAAATAAGAGAGGCATTGTGAATTTAGTAAAAAAAGAGGGGCATTGTGGAATTATAGTCAACATGAGAATAGAGGGGTTTGGTGAAACAGGTCTTACGAACCTTGGATTCGCCAACATCGAATCTGCCCCAAATTTGTGTGACAACGCCAGTCAAATAACACGCTCTCTCTTACACTAGCCAACAGAAATTCTTGACGCAAACAACTGCGTCTTAATGTCATCACAAGGAAGGTGGATCATTCCCGGAATTCCTTACACTAGTAAAATTAATGGCCACCACGATAAAAAGAACCCAAAAATTGAGCAAATGCGAGCGACGGGCCATTTGCGAAGACCGAGTGACAGCCGGGCCCCTGGTCACAATTTTCGGCGCACGTCAAAACAAAGCTCACCACGCATTCTTCGCACGCTTCCGCTGCTCACTGTGTAATCCTCGTCCACCGTCGGCAGCCCTGTGACCCACCACCACCACCATTAGTACCCCCCTCGAAACGGCTCAAACAAGAAAAAAGGTGCGCTCCTTGGCCAACACCAAATGGCAGCCGGGCCCCTGGTCACAATTTTCGGCGCACGTCAAAACAAAGCTCACCACGCATTCTTCGCACGCTTACGCTGCTCACTGTGGAGTCCTCATCCATCGTTGGCCGCCCTGTGACCCGCAAGCCCCACCATTAGCGCCCCCTCAACGGCCAAAAAAAACAAAAAGTGCGCCTGGGCTCCTTGGCCAACACCAAATGGCAGCCGGCCCCCTGGTCACAATCTTCGGTGCACGTCAAAACAAAGCTCACCACGCATTCTTCGCACGCTTCCGCTGCTCAATGGGAAGTATTCATCCACCTGTGACTATCCTGTGACACGACAGCCCCACCATTAGCACCCCCTCAAGGGCAAAAAAAAACCAAAGGCGCGCCTAAGGCTCCTTGGCCAACACCAAATGGCAGCCGGGCTCCTGGTCACAATTTTCGGCGAACGTCAAAACAAAGCTTACCTCTCATTCACTATGGAGTCCTCATCCACCTGTGGCTATCCTGTGACCCGCCAGCCTCACCATGAGTACCCCCCTCGAAACGGCCAAAACAAACAAAAAGGTGCGCTCCTCAGCCGACACCAAATGGCAGCCGGGCCAGTGGTCACAAGTTTCGGCGCACGTCAAAACAAAGCTCACCACGCATTCTTCGCACGCTTCCGCTGCTCAATGGGAAGTATTCATCCACCTGTGGCTATCCTGTGACACGACAGCCCCACCATTAGCACCCCGCTCAACGGCCAAAAAAAAAAACCAAAGGCGCGCCTTGGCTCCTTGGCCAACACCAAATGGCAGCCGGGCCCTTGGTCACAACTTTCAGCGCACGTCAAAACAAAGCTCACCACGCATTCTTCGAACGCTTCCAGTGCTCAATGGGAAGTATTCATCCACCTGTGGCTATCCTGTGACCCGCCAGCCCCACCATTAGTACCCCCCTCAAGGGCAAAAAAAAAAAAGCGCGCCTTGGCTCCTCGGCCAACACCAAATGGCAGCCGGGCCTGTGGTCACAATTTTCGGCGCACGTCAAACCAAATCTCACCTCGTATTCTTCACGAGCTTCCGCTGCTCCCTATGGAGCCCTCGTCCACCGTTGGCCGCCCTGTGACCCGCCAGCCCCACCATTAGTATCCCCCCTCGAAACGGCCTAAAGGTGCGCTCGTCAGCCGACACCAAATGGCAGCCGGGCCCCTGGTCACAATCTCTGGCGCACGTCGAAAAGAAACACACATCGCAGTTTTCTCGCGTGCTCGGTCCTTATCAAAACGTCCTCATCCACCTGCGGCTACCCTGTGACACAGCACTACCGTCAGAAACGCCCGGCCATTCGCGCGTCAAAAATCGCAAAAATCACTCTCTGGCAGTGGGCAACATGGATAGCATCTTCAAAAGCGGGCCTAAGATCGGTTTCTCACCTGCATTTGAGCGGGAGTGCTTCGTGCCGGATCTGACCAGGCACCGTGGCTCTTGGGCCTCGCTAGCGCGTCCATCAGCGCACGAGCCATCGCGGCTCTTCATGGGTCAGAGCGAGGAATTGTCTTGACAACAAATGGCAGCCCAACACGAGATCAGCAAGAATGGTAAATCCATGACGGTCACGCGGCAATGTCGCTTGGCCACCCGTTCATCCATGACGTCGCTTGCACCTCGGCAGCACTTGCCCGTCGCGCCACAACGACGACAACGCACCACCAGGAGCGCGCGCGCGCCCCGCCCATGGCCCGCTTCATCGTGGCGCGTGTCAGTGAGAAAAGAAAAAAATTGAAGTCAAAAGCAAAGGGAAGGATATAGAGGCAAGAGGTTAATGCAGCAAAGTTTCAATTAATTGAAGCAGATCATGGTCATTCCAAGTAAAAAGATGCAGTCGATTCAGCAGTTATTGAAGATAATAAAGATGATGACATTCTGACATTCGGTTCTGTGTTCTGTGCTTCTCAAAAGAGCTTTCTGTGTGTGTTTAGCGAAAACTGTCGGGGCCGACTTGGGCTTTCGCCTCATTGGGGAGCAGGATCCTCGCACTTTCAAACACAAATTCCACAAGACGCCAATGCCCACGCCCTGGAAATGGACAAGGACCGGACGAGTACAGCCACTTGACAAACAAGTCGCGCGTATCGAAATCCTTCAATGTCATTTCCTTCAAGTTGTAGCCCATCCGCTGGGCCAGGTCGCGCAGCCCCTGATGACAGTCCGAATAAAGGAGGATACAGCTCAGGCCCGAATTCAGCCCCTGGGACTGCCTGCAACGGTGATCCCATGTATCCCATCCACGAATCTTCCTTGGCATTCCACAAGCGTAGCAACAGGCTCTGTCGGGGTATGCGAGGTGCACTGAACAATCACTTGTCTCGTGTCCTCCGAAGTGACACCGCTCACAAACACGATTGCATACGCATCGATGCCCGGCCTTCAGGACGGGTTTCGCCTGTCGAATGGTACATCGCATGCAGTAATCATCCATCAACTTCAGAACGCTAATAAACTTTTCAGCCGCCGCGTAGTTCATCAGATATTTTTTTTCTGTCCCCGATTTCGACCGAAATATTGGCGCGACGTTGTGCCGATTCGGTGGCGTAGCCGCAGCAGATACCGTGGCTTCAGAGCAAGTGGTAGCAGTAGCGGCAACGGTAGCGGTGCGCGTGCCACTCGATGCTGCTCGTTTTGCTGCGGGAAGAGGCGTCCTCGCTGCTTGAGCCGCTGTTGAGGAAGCAGCAGCTGTGCACGTGACGTCCGATGCCGTTCGCTTGGATGTTGAGGGAGCAGGGCGTGTAGCGACGCCGTTGCCATCGTCGTCATAATCGTCAGACCCAGGGGTACATGTACTTTCAGCTGCCAGCGGCACTCGCTTACGCCGCAGTGTACCCGAGGCTGAGCTTGCAGCCGATCGCGCCGGAGAGGAGGTTGAACCCGAGGCCGATGGTACTGGCACGCAAATGATCGAGGCCGACGGGGTTGGCGCGTGTTTCGTGGGGGTTGGCTGTGCTGCTGACTGCATAACTGGCTGTGGCGTGCTCTCGTCCTCTGCCATCGTGGTTTGCACCGGGCCACGCGCCTCTTGCTGTAAAGGCGCCTCGTCATCAGCATCAGAGATCATGGGTGAAGCTGGCACCGACATGGATGCTGTAGCTGCCTCATCAATCCAAGCAGCACTCGTCTGTATCCGTGGCACGGCAGCATCCGTCATTGGCCCTGCATTTGTCGCCACCACAGCCGTGTCCTGGACACGTAGAGTGCTTCTGCTCGACTGCGCTGCAACGGCACCTGGTCCTGGGGACGCGACTGTGTCAACGTTCGATGCTGAAGTTACATCCAAAGCGGACTCTGGCCCGATCGATTCTTCTTCCTCGAGCCGTGCTGCAGGTGGCTCAGACAACACATCTTCCTCCTCCGCCATCGCCTCGGGCTCTGCTTCCACATGCGCCACACTCAACGCTTGGGCAGCGCGCTGCTGGCGCGCAGCTATTGCTGGCTCCAGGCGCTGTGCTGTTCCTGCGCACACGTCACAAAGCGGCTGGCCGGCAGCAAAGCATGTCGCGGCGCGGGGATCTAGCAACTTGCCGAGCGCCCAGCTGCGGCACGCACTGCCTTCGACAAACTTTTCCATGCCTGGTGCTGGCCCACGTCTCACTGGTAGCCACAGCTCGGCAGTTCCTCCCTGTTTATCGCGACCAGCCCGACCAAATGCACATGTACACCATCAGCAAAACCAACAATTGATTTTTTTTTTTTTTTTGTTTTCAACTCCATACAGTCACACGACTGTTTGAGCAACAACGTACCTGGGCCAGCGTATAGACGTTGTAGCCGTTGCCATACCACAGCACGTGGCGAATGGTGAGCAGATCCACACCCGTGCTGAGGCAGCTGGTGGCCACAATGACGTCGCATTCACCCCGTTGCCACTGTGCCACGTGGTCCTTTTGCGCCTTCTCCTCCAGGTCGGTGTAGTAGGGCAAGGCCATGTAGCCGCGTGCGTGCAGCTGGTCACACAGCAGCTTCACCTCGTTCACAGTGTCGCAAAAGACCATCATGTGCACACGCTTCCCATTCGCCTGACGCATCACCCGCTGCCTGTCCACAATGGCTTGCACATGCGACAAAAAATCAAGCTGGTTTCCGTGAAGCACACGCAGCTGCAGATCGCGACGCATCGTCTCCAAACGGTACACCTTGCCCCCCACTTGCTGCCCCAGCTTTCGAAACAGATGCTCCTGGTCCCCGATGCAAAGTGTGCCCGTCAACGCCACGCGTTTGATGTTGGTCCATCCGCCAGAACCCACACTGGCTGCGACTTCGTCCATCACATCTCGGTAGCTGGCATCCGAGATGAGCGTGTGCGCCTCGTCCATCACCACGGTGCGGATGCGCTGAAAGCAGACCTTTCCGTGTAGCGATTCAGATCCCACGCGGACAAACATGTCGGTCGTAACGATGAGCACGTCCAGGCCATCTGCCACCTGTGTAGAGGGACCAAGCCATCGCTGGGCACTGTGACCTGCGCCTTGAAATCGCCGCAATAAATCGTTGGCCACGGCCACAAACGGCACAATCCACAGCACCGTACCGGCATGCGGGCGACAGCCCAGCTTGGGCAGGGTACAAAATGTTTTACCCATGCCTGTCGGTGCAACAACAATTAGCCATCCATCTTCCGGCCGGTGCTGGTCAATGGCCGCAGCCAGGTCCAACTGTTCTTGGCTGTTGAAACTGTGGCCCCACGAGATGCTCGCCTGCTTGGCCAGCTGGGTCATGTAGGGTACGTCATGCTCGGCCCTCGTGTTCATGATACGCCCGTTTGCCTCGGGCGAGAGGTCAGTCACCGGGTTCCAGCTGATGGGATAGCGAGCTTCCAATGCTTCTTGGTTCGCGGTCAACTCGGCTATGCTGCGCTTGCGATCTAGTCCAAACAAAGCATGCCATTTTTGCGAGGCCACTTGATGCATCAGTCGCGACGACATTTTGGTTTGCACATGGTCACTCGCTGTGCGCGCATAGGCCCGCTGGGCCGTGTCCCCAGAGTGTTGAGCTTGAGTGTGGATCAGGCTGCCCAGGGCGCCGGTCGTCTCGGCCGACAGTCGGTTAATCACAAACGTCGTCATCCAGAAGGTTGCGGCGTGTCGCCACGTGGCCACCCCCAGCTTTGGCCGATGCAGGTACGTGGTCATTTGTCGACGAAATGCCGCATAAATGGTGGCTGGGCTGACCATCGTCTGCAGGGGCGCAATATTGAAGAGGAGGTGGCTGTTGTTGTAGTGGTTTCGAGCGTCCCGGACCTCGCGTCGCAATGTCATCGTCTCGTCGTGGCTCATGTGGTCTTCATCCAACTCGTCGTCGAGGAAATCTTCGTCGTCCTGCTCGGCATTGTGAATGCCGTTCTCGTCGTCGGGGGTGTCCAGCCCGCCCCGCTTTTGCAGCCAGCTGCTCAGCATGTGCTCCAGAGGCTTGCACAGCAGCAAATACATGAATATCAGCGTGCTGATTTCCTGGTCCATGTATCGAAAGGTGTGCTGTTCGTTCAGGGACAGCCAGTAGGTCTTGCTCACGCGGGTCAATATGGAGAGCTGCTTCTCGGCAAAAAACGCAGATCGTTGCCGGCCAACGCCGTTTTTGTAGGACAGCCCTTGATACACAGAGGCTCGTGGCGGCAGACCTAGTCAAATGCAAACAGGCATGAGTGGCGCGAAAAAAAAAAAAAAAAAAGAGACGGCTTGATTCAAGGAGACGGCTTGATTCCAATCGTACCTCCGGCAATGTGCGTGTAGGTGAGGGCTAGCTCGTTGAACCTGCACACATATAGGAGCCATACCCGCACCCTGTCCTCTCGAAAGGTCAGCTCGCCATTGGACCCATGCTCGGTTTGGATAAACTCTTGCCGCAGACTCGGGGTCTGGCCAATGTGATCAAACAGCGCGTTCTCGGCTGGACTGCCATGGCCCACCCACCAGTTCTTGACCCTGTTGGTCCGATCCTCCTTCAATCGCAGCCGCTCATATTCTTTCTCGTAATCTTTCCGCAGGCGTGAGTCCAGCAAGAGGTGCTTGTCCAATATTTCCGTCATGTCTTTGCGCATCTGCTCCAATGCGGCCCCGAGCTCCTCCACATTGAGCTCAATACCTCGGCAGACAATGGTGCGCAGCGTCTCGTCCGTCACGTCGCCATCGGCTCGGATGTCGACGTCGACTCCAGCCTGCCCCTCGGCCACGCTCGCTGTTCGTGCCATGCTCATGCGCTGGCTCAAGAA